CTGAGTTTCTCCAACATTTTCTGTCTTTGCTGGAAATTTACTTTAATGAAGTTAGAATTGTTTTGCTAAATATTGCCACCTAGTGGAACCTGGTGTTATGACAGCAATTGTGCAATACAGTAATTGAATGATTTTTAAAAATACAATGCAGAAATAGATAAAGAAATTCTGTAATTCAGAGGAAATGAGGGTAAATAGGGATGTTTCCTGTATGCTATACAACATGTTTGTTGTTTGAATATTGTTTTTTATGCGCACTTGTTGCTTTGTCTTATAGCAACAAATACTTCAGTACTTGAAGGACATGTTCGATTTGGACAAAGTGCGATACACTACAGTGAATTCACTGGCGGACGACATTGTGCAATTGTCACGCAGACGCAGTGAGATTCTCCTTGGCTACCTGGGCGTTGATGCAATAACAGAAATGAATGGGACATTACCCACTGACAATGGACCTTTGGAAGAGGCCAGTCTTGTATGAAACTTGGACACACAGGTTTTTTTAAATAAAACAAAAGTGATTAATTTTTGGAAGAAACAAATCATAACAACTTGGCACTAAGAATCAGTGACTTGTGTCTGATTCCTGGATGATTTCCCATCCTCCCCACTCCCATCTCTGTTTTGAGGAGATTATTAAGAGTCTTGATCCGAATACTCCCCACACATTGCAGTTGGCCCTTTCTTTTGAATATCAGCGTTTTGATGTGGCATTGTTTGGGGACAGGAAGAATGACACATTATTCTTTGGGAATCTAATGCATTGCAGAGATGTTAGCTGATGGAGGGCTGCGTCTTTGATAGCAAAACCTGAGGATTGCAGGATTAAAAGTACACTTCCCTCCACTTTGTGTTTATTTTGGGGGCGTGTGGTGTAGAATCAGCCTTGTTCTATCAACTTGATGCAACAGTGCCCCTCTGTGGTATAGTTTGTTTACTGCACTGCCTGGTCTGTTGCTGAGCTGTATAAATCAGGAAATGAGTTGAGAGTGATAGATGTCCAGGATTGTATACTGAAGCACTACAGATGGCATTAACACCTCCTGCCTCAAGAGGGAAAAGCCTATCCATTGCTTGTGCCTGCTCACTTCTCATCACCCAGCACAGCACTGTCAAATTTATAGAATGATGGAGTACACGAGGAACCCATTTCTTGACCACTCTTGCACAAAAGGCTAAATGCTTGAAATTTTGAAGCACTTTTTTTTTTCAAGTGCCCAAGACTAACATTGAGCCTAAAAAAGCAAGTAACTAATTTTGTTTACCTTTCTCTTGGGGGGGAAAAAAAAAGCTGATTTTAAAGTCATTCTTGTCAGTGAATGTACTGTTACCCGTGCTACCATCCACCACCTTCAGTGGGAACACTACAGGACACAGTTTTGGGGGGGGGTGGAATATAACTGAATCATGGAAAATGTGACTTTCTCCCTGTACTCTCTGGAAGATGAGAGTAATAATCGTCAGGGTATTAAGAAAAAGCTGCAAATAGTGACCCCACTTTCCCAACCAGAATAGCAGCAATTGATTAAATCCCCTGTCAGTCACACATGGAGACCACACTGCTACAAATGATGAGGATTGTTGTGACTCTCAACTACTATTCTGTAGTTACTCACCCCACACTGCATTTTGCTGGAGAAATAATCCTGTTTCTCATATTTTTTCATTCTACCATTCATGAGAAGGGGTGACTTGCTCACTTCTGCCCTCTGTTCCCCTAAGTCTATGTGGGTACACCACAAGCTGGAATATACTGCAATATCATAAGCAGATCACGTGCAACCAATTTTATCTCTAGCATGCACACGGTCTTGCAATGCAATAAACAGGCAGCTCAAACAAGGAAAAATAAGAGTGACCATTGCTTCCATCTCTAAGATCCTCTGACATGTGGGATCTTTGTCCCTAAACTGACACACTACCTGAAAGAATTTGGCAGGGGAGAAAAACTCTTGGAGAATCTTGTAATGAAATTGTTCCTCATTAGATCTTGAGTTCCTTTTGGAATTGTTAATGTGTAATAATTTTAATTTTGTGAGGGATGGACTCAGTTGAGCAAATCTTCTGAAACATTTCAATGTGGGTTCAAAGTCTAAATCAGACTTTTAAGTGAATTTGTACTGCTTTTTAGAAAGAAATTACATTCACAGGATTTCACACTTCTGTGTTACCTCCAGGAATGCCTCATGCTGTGATGGGAGTAGGTTTTGATGAATCGTATCTCTCACTCGTGTCCCTAATCTCCCTGTGCCAGTCCAGGAGTACATTGTACCCTAGAGAGACACGGTCCTTGCTGTTGAGTATTTAATTGCCCAAATAATACTGGCTGACTGTGAGAGGCAGGGGATGAGAGGAGGGTTCTCTTAGTGTACATCAGAACTGTTTAGAAGTCCAACTTGCTTATTGTGCTCAGGTTTATATAATTAGATTACTCCTAAACCCTCCAAATAAACAGGCCTGATGTATCTGTTATCAATGTTTTATGATCAATAGATGATTTCAACCTGAAGTAGGTTTTTTTTGTTTGAACTATTGTATCAGAGACTTGGAACAAATCTGTTTATGGTGAACAGAGTCAGCAACAAAAACTCTGTTTCTGCCTTTTGGAGTGACTAGGATTGTGCTACACCAACACTTATAGAAGGTGAGACTACTCATGGTAAGATAGACAGGAGTGTGTGTGCTTCTGAAAGGAGGGGCTCAGTGTTGGGTTTTGTGATTTTTTTCTGCTTGAGCTTTGGCATTTCAAACCAAACTAAGTCCCTTGATGCAATCGGTTCCTGAGATAAATACTGATTATTGCTCTGGCAAATTCAGTTTAACTGTCGGATTTCTTGTTTCCAACAATGTGACATGGAAGCTCCTCATAAATTAGCCACTATATCTTTTCCTTTCGATTATCAAAGGACTACTGAATGTATTAAGGTATTTTTAAAAAATAGAACTTTTAAGCAGTGATTTCTAATGTGTTGAAATTTCTGATTTTTCTTCTTGAATTGTCATTGAGGCTTATGGAAAAATAGTGGAGTTCTGGACATGTATTTGCAACACACTGTTCAGGGAACAAAGTGGTTGCTGAATTTTGGAAAAATACTTTACAGACAGTAGTCATTATCTAGAGGAGATTCCCATTAGAAGTGTTAAACAGGTTAAAGAAATAACAAAATGCAGATAGATATGTATATATAGAAGGTATCTGCTTGAGAGACTGACTGTAATAGTGAAGATATTGGCTGTATTCCAGTTCCTGGTATGGGACCCCAGCTCCGACCAGGTGAAATTCCATTTTGGCTGGCTGGTAGGCATGAGGTTTCTGGGCATGGTGAGTTTGGGGCAGCGTGCTTCCCTAATGAGTGAGGGTTCATGTCCCTACAACGGAGACTGGAGTCGGATTACTGCAGTTTGGTGTTGAAGTGCATCATTGTGCGTGAAGCAAGCCTTTTAGACTCTGCATCTTAATAGAAGATATACTTGACATGAGAGTACTTGATAGAATGAGATCGAAGAGGGACACTTTGAATCCGAGTCTGTGTCGGCTCACCAGTTATGAGCCAGCTTGAAAATTGTACTGTGAGCAGCCAGGCTTTTTTATTTTGTGGTCATATGTCAGTAAGTCGTTATGCTCAATAAAAGTTTAATTGTTTTGTTTGTTCTTTTTTTAAGAAAGGTTGTAGCCAATTTGGTTATGTAGAAATCAGATTTGCTATTGCACTTTATTTTGTTTAAGATTGGGCCGAATAAATTCCAAACTCCTCCACCTCCACCTTTAATCTCGGCCCAGACTAGAGTTGCTGACTTTGTAAAATTGTATCCCTTTTAAAGAGAGGGTATACGTTGCCATAACAGAATTCATGAGCTCAGAAGTCCCAAAATATTTCACAGCCATTGTAGTACTTATTAGAGTGGTCACTGTTGTAATATAGAAAATACTGGAGTTGTTTTACACACAGCAAAATCCCACAAATGGGATAATCTTTCTTTTCTGCATGTGAGTTGATTGAGGGCTAAATAGTGGCCCTAGCGCCTGCTGCAATTCAGAATAGTGCCAGGAGAACCGTCCATCTAAATAGATGATAGGAGGCTCTGGCTTATTAGTTCAACAGATCTAAAGTATCTGCAACGGTGCAGTACTTCCTCAGTGATGTATGAGTTGTGTCAGCCTAGAATTTGTCCCTGAAACTCTGGAGTGGGACAGTAATACATTCTAGTAGTTGCTGAAAGTCACAGCACTTCCCATTGCTGTTGCACTTCGAATGTGCGTTTGGCAATGATTTGTAGGTAATATGGCCATTGCTTGCCATGCCTCCTTTGTTGCTTGTAGATCTTACTGCTCCCTACATCTGTGGGCTTACCTAAGTGCGAGCTAGCATTATTCTTGTCATTCAGTGGTAATTCTATTCCTACCAACTTGGAGAAAGCGATGGAAATCCATTTAGAAGCAGCCCACTGTCAGACAGCTTGTTTCTGCCCCGCTCTCTCTAATGAGCAACTACTTGTGATTCGAGCTCACCAAGGTAATTGTGGATAAAGGTGCCCATTATTCAATCAAGTGTAGGAGCAAATCACTGCAGATGCTGGAATCTGTACTGAAAACAAAAAATGGAAATCACAGCAGGTCAGGCAGCATCCGTGGAGAGAGAGCAAGCTACAGTTTCGAGTCTAGATGACTCTTCATCAGAGTATATCCTGCACGGGCAGCGTGATTTCTCAAATCATTCTAGTATTTCAGCTTCCAAATCTTTACTGGGATGAAATTTCCCAGTGTCAGCACTTCTTTGCAGGAAAAGCTTGCTGATAGTAGTCCTGCAGTTAATAAGCCAGTTTGAACCTATGTCCTATTCCTAACATTGAATTTAAAGTAATATATAGATGTAACCTTTTCTGTAGTATTTAATATTATACATTTATAGGCTAGCTTCCTCTTTCAGGCTGAAAAGCTGTAGTCACCTAATTCCTTTTCTCTTGTCCAAACTCCTGACAATATTTAATTTTTATCTTGTTGCCCATGACCAGAACAGCGTGCTACACTTGAACAGTGATTTGGGTAGAACTGAATGTTGCCTTTGCAATGTGACCTGACCATAGCTCTGTATAATGCGATCATAACATCCTCTGCTTTGCATTCACAGTTGTTTTTGGTGACTTTAAATTTAATGTTCTCTTGGTTTTGATTGCTGCCCTGTTTTCGTTTGATGTCTTTAGCAGTGACTCTAGATATTCAAGGCCTCATCCCACTTCACTGTCACTAGTTCAGTGCCGATTGTAAAGTGTGTCTCTTGCTTTTCGTGTAGACCGTATCCCATGTGGGCTAGTGCAACTGGTTAGAGCATTCCTTGAGTGGCCTTCGAGCAAGGTATTGCTTTAATCTTCAACCCTCAATTAAAAGTTCACTTTAAAAAGTAAAATGCCACACACTGCCATATAGCTAAAACACAAGCCAGTGGCACTTCTGGTATTGGGCGCTGTTCTTTTCATCTTGAGGTTATCAAACCTGTAGGTTGGACTCGCTCCTCAGCCTACTGTTTGCAAAAATTTTATTGTTTACAAAGGTAACAAGCCGTAGTTGGATTTTGTTCTGTTAATTCCAATATATTACTTTCACTTGAGGGAATTGAAATGTGAATCAGGTTTAGAAAAGATGTGTTTACTTCAGTATTGATTGAGCCAGGTCATCCCAAGTAAGGTTATTAATCCCAAGTAAGCTAAAGAACCTCATTGATCCACACAGTGCACCAGCAGACACCATTTTTCCAAACTCTGTGCTTACAGAAGTATGAATTTTATTAAATCTACCTGTAGCTCTTTCTGAAAGCCCAGTGTACCAATTATATCTGGTTCAGGCTACTGTGTAAGAGAATTAGGCACTTTCTGAGCACTTGGATTGTGTGTGTCACCCTTTGTGTGTGGGAGTGGAGTTCATTGGCTTTCAGAATAGGGGTATGTTTTGTAAACTATACCTCATAGAATGCATTATGAAAATGCAACCTGCAAGTTTGGAGCCAAGTTAGGAGAACTGTAGAACTGTAAATGCTGGTGGTGAGAGTAGAAGTGATGAGAGTGTGGTGCCCAGGAAGAGTGGAGGAGAGGAACATAAAATGAAATAGAGGGGAAGAATAATTTCTTGCCACGTTTGTACACTTCCTTTCAGTGAGCATAGGAGTTGGTCTGGAGCAAGTTACTCACCCTCCCCAATTTGTGGGGAGGTAAAGGTCGGAATATGGTTTTTACATATGGAAGGAGGAGGAGAAAGAAGTCTTCAGTGACAATCTGACAGTGTGGATGCATTGGACCCAATTTCAGTTCTTTAACTTTCTAATTTTCTGCACATATCCGGTTTCCCTCCAATCAAATCACAATTTTGATTCCTGTAAACAGTGACACCATTTGAGAGCATTGCGAGGTGCTGAAGGCATAAATAAATACTTTGACTTGTACATTGTCGTAAGAAGCTGCTGCAACAGCAACAACAGGGGAAGCCTTCACTAAACCGGACTGAAATGAACTCACTGGACAAGTAACTGATATCAGAGCAAGTGCTGTAGTATAGACTAAAACATCACCATAAATTACCATATAAATACTAGGTCTTTCTTTACCAGTCGCCAAGCCAAGACATGTCTAGGCTGACTCCATACTAGCTCCAACATCTGAAGAGTCTCCCCTCACTCTAGCACACAACCACTATAGGCTGATCCAGATACTTGTCGATGCTATCCCTTCCTGCCACCATTCTGTTGACCATGAATTTTATAGTTTCTAGTCTTCATAAGGTTTCTGGTTAGTTTTGTTAATGACTTACTGCAAAATTGTTGTATTGTCTGGAATTGAATTAAGTTTGTCTTGTATTGAGACTTGGACTGGTTCCATTTTGAACTGAGTTGTGGGTTCAGTCTTTTGAAGCTGCTATTAAAATTTTTATTAAAAAATAGAGGTCTGTGGTAAGTTGGGGGCTAAGAGCAGAAAAGAATGGGAAAAATGTCTGAAGTGGTCATTCTTTAATTATATAAATGTGTGCCTCTTCCTTTTTTTTGTGTGAATTATTGCTTTTGATGTAAAACTTGTTACCTTAAGAATTTTGTTTTTATTTTTAAAGTAATCGCTGCTGTCCTGTATCCATCAATACATTTCAATTAAAAAAAACAAAACTGCAAGAACAAATACGTCTGTAAGTGGATTTGCTTATTAGGCAAGGGTATTGAGTGGTACAGAATGAAGACATGTAGGTGAAGTTAAAAGCCATGAGTTAATTAATTGACAGACAAAATCTTGCACTTGCATAGCTCCTTTGATGTAATAAAATTTCCAAAGATTATTCATAGGACAGAGATTGATACTGAGCCGAACAAGGGGATAGCCAAATCTTGGTCAGCGGTATATGTTTTATTCATTCACAGGGTGAGGACTTCACTGGGTAGGCAACATTTATTGCCCATCTCTGATTGCTCAGAGGGAAGTTCAGGAACAACCACATTACTGTGGGTCTGGAGTCACATGTATGCCAGTCCAGGTAAGGACATTAGTGAACCAGACGGATTCATAATTGAAAGTGGACTCATTCCAGATTTTTTTAATTGAATTAAAATTCCACCATCTACCACGGTGGGATTTGAACTTGGGTCCCCCAGAACTTTACATGGGTCTCTGGATTAACTACCAAGCAATAATACCACTGGGTCGTTGCCTCCCCTCAGTTTTAAGGAGTATCTTTACAAAATAAAGAGGGAAGACAGGCAGTGAAATTCAAGAGGGTTTTCTAGAGTGCGAGAATTCAGCAATTAACTGAAAGCATGACCATGAACGGCAGTTTAAGCCATTTCAAGATTGGCACCTATAGTCTTGGCTATAATGTGTAAATATATTTTGGATAAATATAAAAAACTTATGTAAGTGCAAATTCTTGCTGTTTCTAATTTGAAAAAGGCTCTATATTTCAAAGTTAGTAGGAACTGCAGATGCTGGAGAATCTGAGATAACAAGGTGTAGAGCTGGATGAACGTAGCAGGCCAAACAGCATCAGAGGAGCAGGAAGGCTGATGTTTCGGGCCTACACCCTTCTTCAGAAATGGGGGAGGAGAAGGGGGTTCTGAAATAAATAGGGAGAGAGGGGAAGGCGGATAGAAGATGGATAGAGGAGAAGATACGTGGAGAGGAGACAGACCGGTCAAAGAGGTGGGGATGGAGCCAGTAAAGGTGAGTGTAGGTGGGCAGGTAGGGAGACTGACAGGTCAAGGGGGCGGGCTGAGGTTAGTAGGTAGGAGATGGGGGTGGGGCTTGAGGTGGGAGGAAAGACAGGCTAGGGAGGCGGGGACGAGCTGGGCTGGTTTTGGGATGCGGTAGGGGGAGGGGAGATTTTGAAGCTTGTGAAGTCCACATTGATACCATTGGGCTGCAGGGCTCCCAAGCAGAATATGAGTTGCTGTTCC